TTTCTGCCTGCTTCAGTTAGCAGGCCATGGGTCATTACTGATATTAAAAAAAAAACCATAACAGCGAATACAAAGGGAAGAGAGAGCAGTAAAAACTGGTAGAGAAGATCAAGGATTGGAACTGAGTTTTGCAGGTAGGGTCAAATTGAGAGAGGTGGTAAGGAAAGGAAGGGCCTTCCAGGCGGAAGACTAAGCATGAGCCAAATCTGGAGGCCGTCTCTTCTGATGACTTCAGGGTAGCTAAGATCCCAGGGTTGGGGAGAAGTGATTCACTCAAGGAGTTCTGTAGAGTAGTTGTTTGGCAACTCAACAAAACAACACAAATAACAGAAACTTCACCCAGCACACACTCCCATCGAGTTGATTCTGACTCAGGGCAGTCCCAGAGGAAGAGAGACGAGACGGCAGCTCCAGCTGTGGGAAAATTCTTTCCTTTGGAGTGGGACACGCTCTTAATCTGAACGCTTAGCACCCGGCCTAAAGTAATACACTCAAGTCTCTGTCACCTCCCATTTTCAGTCACACACATTCAAGTCCCAACAGGGCCCAGAGGCAGCAGGCACTGACGCTGGTGAGACAAGCCAATCTAAAGTCTGTGTTTCATAGTCACAAAACTGGGGTATGAAGTAGTGAGTGACAGAGTTGGGGAGACCTTACAAAGCATCTGGTCTGATTCACTTGTCTTACAAGTGGAGAAACTGGGCAACAGGGAAGAAAAGCATCAGGCACAAAATCGCAGAGCATGTTAGAGACGGAGCTGGGATGAATTTCCTTCACATTATGTCCTTGAATCTCCGTATTAGGGATGTCATGAGCTTTATTGTCACTTTTACAACACCCCCCCCCCATTCTGTCCCTCTGCCCAAAATATACTACCTGACCTATGGCACTGTGGTTCCAGAACAAAAGGAATATAGGTGGATCATGTCAACCCATAGGAACCTTCAATCATTTGTCAGATGTTATTAAGCACCACCGGGGCTACTGATGCAAGATGTCGGGACCACCTTCAAAGTATTGAAACTTTAGTGCCACAGACAGACAAATTATCAACATCCAGAAGAGCGGGCCTTCCTTCTGTCGACTGCCTCCATCCTATGTGTAGATTATTATGAGACTGATTGTCCCTGAAAGAAACATAGCCAATACCATAACTTGACAAAGGCCAATGACAAAGCACCTATTTCAGAGTGGCTCAGTCTCCCTCATTTATTCAAAAAAATATTTGTTGAGCACTTAGTCTCCATCAGGCATCATGTTCAAAACAGGGATGCAAAGAGAAGTGAAAGGCAGTCCTTTCTCTCCAGAAACCAACAGCGCAATAGAGAAATAAATAGTGATCTTAGAAGATTGTGAGACAGATACTTAGGGAGCCCAAGTCTGCCTTGGGAAGTCTTTTAAGGCTTCGTGCAGAAGGTGGTGAGTTGAAACTGAAGAAGGGCAAGAAGTTTGCTAAGCAGAGAGAAGAGGAGGTCATTCAAGGGAGAGAAAGCAGCCTGAGCAGACAATGCTGCAGGGAAGAAGTCCAATCCTGGACTCGGTAAAGTACTTGCTTTTTCCTAGGATACAGAGTGGCAAGTCAGATTGATGGAATATAAAGAAGGTAATGACTTGGCAGGACTTCTAGTTGAGATGGGGCTATGCACGTGCCCTGTACACAACAGGGAACTACTGAGGGTCTTAAGGGGAGCATCAGACAGTGAGGTTTGTAGTTCAGAAGCCTCACTCAAGCAGCAGGGTAGAGTATGAGTTGGAGTTCATGGAGGCTAGAGAGAAACTTTATGAATCTATGCAAGACCCAATGGAGGCAGGGCCAGTGCCACAGTGATCCATGCCAGAACTGGATTTTCTGCATGAGTCACCCATTTCCAGGCATGCCTGAGCAATGGTGCTGACCATGAACCACAACCAAGAAGCATGCGGTAACACATCTGAGTCTCCAAAACTGTGGTTGATGGTCTTGACATCATTTCCCATGTGTGTGAAAGACCACGCACTTTTCAGTCAATTGGAACTAAGAAATTCATCTCAGCTCTTTTGCTCATCAGAGAAGCTGAAATGTTGCTAAGCTTCTAAAGGCACTTAGGAAAGGCACTTAATCTATTTTCCCATTAATAACACCTCACTTCTGAATTTGGGGGTTTCAGAAAATCTAGCTGTTTTTGTTTTTTTTTCCAAATAAGGTAGCCAGTCTGGCAAAGTAAATGACCTCTTTTATCCCTTCTTTCACAGCTTAGTAGCACTGACTCAACTTTCTCAAACTTCCATGCTTTGGCTCTTTCTATTCCTTCTCCTGAAATGCCTTCCACCCCCTTGTCTATCATGGTGCTTGGAAGTCTCAGGGATACAGCTTCAAATGCCACCTCAGCCAGTCTTTAGTTGCATGATCTAAACTCCTCCCCATTGTTGTCATGTTTGGGCCCATTGATGTGGCCACGATGTCCATCCATATCATTAAGGATCGTCCTCTATTCCGCTGATCCTCCATTTGCCAAGCATAAGGGTTCCCGCCCCCCTTGCCCTCCCTCCCCCTCCCCCCAAGATCTAGCCTCTCCTAATAACCTATTTGAGACAAGCCTGGCCATCCTTCCTCACCTCTAAAGAACATTCCGGTTGTACGTCTGACATGATAGACTTGTTTGTTCTTCTGTCAGCCCATGATACTTTGAATATTCTTCACCAACACCATCATTCCAATCCATTCATTTTTCTGAGGTTTTCCTTATTCATCGTCCAATTTTCACATGCATGTGAGGAACTCAAAAATAACCTGGCTTGAGTCAGGCACGCCCTAGTCCTCCAAGTCACCTCCTTGCTCTTCACCACTGTACGGGGGTTTGTGCAGTAGGTTTGTCCATTGTGATGGGTTGCTGGATTTCTTGACTGCTGCTTCCATGAGCATTGAAGGTGGACCCAAGCAAAATGCAATCCTTGACAAAGTCCATCCTTTCTCTGTTAATCATGATGTTGCCTATTGGTCCAATGGTGAGGATTTGGGGTTTGTTACATTGAGTTGCCATCCATACTGATGGCTGCAGGTTTTTATTTTCATCAGCAAGGATTTGAAACACTTACTGGGTGAGATTGTTGTTTACTAATTCATCTTCAAAATGTGTGCACCTCCACTGAAAAGAACAAAATGAAGGACTGAACCACTTGTACAAGTATCTTTGGGTACCAGGATAATCCAGAATGGCAGTTTTCCTACCCAGATTCATTACACCGGATGCCTGAGTGCTCTCTTTATTTCCACATCCAGCTGTGGAGCCTTAGAATAAATTAGAATTAAGAGAAAGTTGGCTAATAAGAGCCTTGGATCTTAAAAGTAAGAGCAAAACTAAGCGGAGGTGCTCGATGAGAATGGCCTAGTTGCTTTTGCTCTGGTTCTGGGGTCAAACAGAAGAACTGGGAAAGAAAATGGCCGGCGAGTCACGTGCTGCCCAGGAAAGCGCTTTCCCCAGAAGTTGCAAGAGTGGTGTGGTTTCGTTTCAGTGAAAGAATTGTTCGATGTTAGGGCAGGTGACTGACAAAGGGTGTGGGATCCTTTTTCGGGACAAGATATAAAAAGTATTAAAAATAAAGCATGTGATGCGATTACCCCTCTGGGCTATTGCAAGTGGAGACTTGCCAGCAGCCTGGGAGAGAATTTGTGCCTCAAGTCCATCAAAGGACTGAAGCCACATGGGTAAATTCTTCAGAACCTAGCTCCGTCTTCCAGTGCCGTGTCTACAGAAAATAGTGCCTGTGGCAAATTAGTTTTAAATTGCTGAGTGCCCTCACAGTTGCCAATGGAAGTGTCCAAGACCAATAGAAGCTTCTCATTGGTGCCCCCACTCCCTCAAGTGGCTCTTTGCACACGGGCCCTACCCGCATACTGGAATCTCCTCTGACAAGATTGTAAAAACCTCTGGCGCTGCCCTCATTCTAATAGCCTTGTCCATTTTCAAGTTCAACATAGCATCTTTAATCAATTTGCAATTAATTTGTTTTGATTCCTCTTTTTATTATTATCAACAAAGGCAACTTTTTAAATAATTCTTTATTCCTCTGTACTAATACAAGTATTTTCATGTTTGAGTGTTCTTTTTAGTCTTTATTGTCTACTTATTTCTTAATTAGGCATCAAAGTAAAGCTAAAGTAGCTCTATTATCATAGTTTGCTTTATTATTAAAGACATGGAAGCATAGAGAGATCAATTACTATAGGCCTGGGTAACACACTAAATGGCAAAATCAGGAATGACTTCAAACCCTATGCGCTTTCCCCTACACAGTCCTGTGCTGTTGGCAATACAACCTAGGACACAATTAGTATAAGTAAAATTATTTTGTGTGCTTTGATTCTTATTTATTCTGTCATAATAGTAGTCTGGAATTATGTCATCTGATGCTCACTAAAAATAAAAAGACACAAATAATTTGTCAACTCTGAAGGCCACGTTCCAGGATGTTGTAAAAAAAGTGAGAGGAGAAAAGTAGAATGAATTAATATGGCTAATCAACAATAAACAATATGTTTTCATTTCTAAACAAAACTTCAACATCAGATCTAGATCAACCAATCCAAGTCACTTTCACATCCCTTGGCTAGAAAGCCTTATATTTCTTATTAGTCATCCCATTTCATATCTTTGTGAATGGCAAGTAGAATCGGGGGCCTGTGCAGCCAGTGCTAACGCACTGTAATTCATAACAGGAGAAGCAGGAAGCGTGCCCATTTACTTTATAGGAAGAGCATGAAGAGAGGCTTGCCTCTCCATCTGGGCATCAACGCCATGTGGAAAATGGGGCTGGAGGATGAGCTCTCCGACCTTGAACTGTCAGTCATTCTCACCCTCCACCAGAGGTTCAAGGAGGCTGCGGCGAACGTGGGGAGGCTTTGATCATACACACTTCAGGGCTTGCCAACCAAGGACTACTCAGAACTCCCACTTGGAGCTTCGTCAAGTTGGAAATGATCACAGCCACGGAGCTAATTCCATTCATTTGCTTTTCTTCAGGCAGCATGGGGAAACAGAACAGCAAACTGGCCCCTGAAGTGATGGAGGACCTGGTGAAAAGCACCGAGTTCAACGAGCACGAGCTCAAGCAGTGGTACAAAGGCTTTCTCAAGGACTGTCCGAGTGGGCGGCTGAACCTCGAGGAATTCCAACAGCTCTACGTGAAGGTAGGTTGTTTCTCAATCTCTTTTGTTTTTCCCTCGGGGTAGGAAAAGTTGTCATCAAGAAATATAGTTTCACATGGAAGGATAACTCTAAGTAAGTAACCGATTTATTGGAACGCTGGTGGTTTTCCACCCAGAGGAGGAAAAATGGACATTCAGCAAAAGTTACGTGTATGTGTTTTGCTGCAGAGATCAGCCAAAGAATTTTGATTTTACAGTTAACACAAGAGTAATTGTTACATCAGAACACAGTCCAGAGGATGGCGGTCTCTGATGAAACTCTGTCCTACCGGGCTGCCTTGAGTCTGTCCTGGCTCAGTGGCAATGGGTTTGGCTTGTTGGAAGTGTCTGCATCTCTAACAGCCAGACAGAAAGTACACATGAGGGCCTTTTTACATGAAATGGCCTCCCAGCTGTTAAGATCTCAAATGTCCACAACCACCCATTTGGAAGGGTGTTCTGGGATATCTGGGTATCAGTGTCTACACTGCACCCCAACAGTTTGTTCTGTTTAAAAGCTAACCTCACCCACCCACCCCCAGTATTAAGATAAAACCGTGCCTTAAAAGGTAAACATTGTCTTCAATGGCATTGTTTCTGTTTGTATGCATTTATAAGTTGTGTTGTTTCTAGATTTGGCATGATATACGATATTTCATTTTATCTACACGTGTATAGTGTTCTGCTTATGGAAGGAGTAAATTTTTCCTTTATTTATCACTAAGATTAAAAATAGAAAATAGTGCTCTTATCATTTAATTATAGCAAGTGTCCCTTTGAGCAATGTAAGCAATCATATGTGGGAGGGGAAGGGATTGCATAGAATATTGAGCATTGTTATGATCTCTTAAAGTTCAACATTTCTATGACACTCTTGCTCACATGCAAGAAGGGACTTGTATAAGAATGTGCATAGCTGTATTATTTACAATTGTGAAACTTGAAAGTAACCCAAATGCTCATCAAAGAGAGTGTCAAAGACACTGTGGAGAGACTTCGTAACAAATGGTACTGGAAAAAGTGGATATCTATTTGCAAAATAAACAATACAGGATCCACACTGCACATTGTACACACAAACAAACTCAATGTATCAAAGTTCCAACTGGTCAAACTAAAATGATAAAGTTCCTGGAATATAAAAGAAGGATGAAGCGAGGGGTTCTAATGTTGGGATCAAGCACAACTAGAAATGCATGCACCTAGAAGATAACTAGATCATTAGGACCTCCTGAAAAATTAAATACTTATGCTCATCCTTGTGGTTTACCCAAAGAGTAAAGAAGAGAACCTACAGGTTGGGGAGAATGTGGTAAAAGCATAGCCGGCAGGGTCAAACCTCTGTAGAAAACTCCAGTAACTCAACAACAAAACGAGGAGCATATGAACAGGTACTACAGAGAAACCATTCTGGCAGCCAACAAACACATGAAGAGAGATGTATGCATCATTTGCCTCTACAGAGATACAAAACCCGAAACCACAATGATATACCATCTCACCCCAGCAAAAATGACAACGATAAAATAAATAGACAAGTGCTCCTGAGATTGTAGGGAGATTAGAATGTATATACTATTGGTTTGATTGCAAAATGGTACAACCACTGTGGGAAATGGTATGGCGCTTTCTCAAAAACCTAGAAATGGAACTACCTTAAGATCCAATAGTCTCACTGCTGCATATATATCCTTACGATTCAAGAATGATACAAATGAACATATGCATACCCATGCATATTATTTTCAGTAGCAAAAAAGGTGGAAATAACCTAAGTGCCCATCAGTGATTGAGTGCATAGACAGATCGTTGTGCATACATACAATGCAATACTATGCACTGATACCGATAATGATCAGCTCACGAAGCATCTTATCCCATGCACTAATCTGGAGGATATTATGCCAAGGGAAATAAGTCAAACATTAAAGGCAAATATTCATGATACCACTTTTATAAAACATCACAATAATAAGAATACACAAAGAAAACAACATTTGTTTGTCACTTATGGTTACCAGGGAGAGGAGGACAAGGAAGGTGGTCTTTTACTAGATAGTAGATACATGATGATTCTCTTGATGACTAGGCAATTTACAATATGGGGAAGGCAACACAATTTGACCAACTGTAAGACACTGAGAGGTACCAGGAATAAGGTAAAGCTACAATACATACTACAACACAATTCTGCAATAACAGTAATAACAAATAATGTGTAAACTATATGGATGTGGGAAGGAGTGAGAGCATACATTCATGAGTATATGTGCTTTGGATATATCCATATCTATAATAAAACAAATACAGGACACAGTAATGACTACTTCATAGTCAATCCCACTTTGAGGAATCGAGCTACTATGTTTGGAGGCTCAGGATTATAGTCACATAGGACAACTAAGTCAATTGGCATCACTTAGTTCACAAAGCTCATGTTCTGCATCTTAGTATGTTCCATAGTGACTGGGGTCTTAAAAGCTTGTGAGTAGCCATATCAAATACAACTACAGGCCTCTTCCTGTCTGGAGTGAAGAGTGAAAGAAGCCAAAGGTTCTTAGGAGAAATTGGTCAAGAGGACTACTGGCCTATGTAGCCCAAGACCAGAAGAAGTAGACAGTGCCTGACTGCAACTGCCAACTGTTCTAACCAGAAACACAACATACGGTCCCAGTAAGGGTGGGAGAAAAATGTAGTCAAAACTCCAATTCATAAAAAAAGACCAGACTCACGGTACTGGTAGAGACTAGCGGAATCCCTAAGACCATTGTTCTTTTAAATAGACATTTTTAACCTGGAGCTGAAATCACTCCCAGATTAGTAGATTTGTCTATGAAATAAACAATAACCCCATGAGGAATCAACTATATAAGACCAAACAGCCAACATTTGTACCAAAACAAAGAGAAGAAGGCAAGGAAGCTGGAGGGACGGAATCAGGGCAGGTAGGTGGCAATGCTGCGCATGCTGACATATTGCAGGGACTGTAGCCAGTGCTACCAAGCAATTTGCACATGAATTGCTGAATCTAATTTGCAGTGTAAGCATTCAAACACAATCAAAAAGAAAAGAAATGGGTGGTCTATTCCCACAATAAAGAGCTATGCAGTACTTGAAATAATTGAAGTAAGGCAACAGTAAAACATGAAGTGCAAAAGGTGTGCCCCGAACGATTTTCAATTAAATACAAATAAGATGAAAATAACACTTATAGGCCTATCGCTAAAGGCAATACAAACAAAGCCATGAGGAACACAGAACTTAGACTGAAGGATGCTCCCCGGGGAAGAGACATACAATGGAATGGGAGTGCAGCCACATGGTAAGATGTACATTGTTTTCAAGGTCCTGACCGCACTTTGGGTGGTGGGTTTTCTTGTGCTTAGTGTCTCCTTAAATCTGACCAAGCAACTAAGTAAAT